CTCCGCCCCCTCCACTGTGGCTGCAGCTGCTGCCCGTGCGGCCTCCAGGAGGTGGGCGGGGAGGGATGGGTCCGGGAGAGGTGGGCGGGGGACAGGAGGTCATGCCATGCTGAGGATCAATGATGGAGCATCACCAGCATGAGGCCTGGGAGTGGACGGGTGGGACTGGAGGTCTGCGAAAGGGGATGGGAGGTCTTTGTGGGGAGACCAGGGATAGAGCTGGAGGGGTGAGAGCCTGGGCCAGGGTCCCCTGGCTCGGCCTTAACTGTGTCTACCTCCCTCTCCAGATGGAAGTGCAGTCGCCACACCAGGCACCACCATTGGCCATGGTGCAGACCTGGCATCCCTTCCTCCCCAAGTTCTCCATTCAGGACGCGGACCGCCACACCATCCTGCGAGTGGTGGGGCCCTGCTGGACCTGCGGCTGTGGCTCTGACACCAACTTTCAGGTATCAAGAGTAAGGGGCGGTTCCTGGGACCTTCACACACCAAGATGGCAGCTTCCAGGAGGCAGGATGGCCAATGCTAAACTCAAGACACGGAGCTCATGGATCCAAACTCACTGTGACTCCTGCCACACTTCCAGTGTTCCTCCCTGTAGAAATAGGATGGCTCCCTGGTCTTATAAATGCCTGACAAAGTGGGTTTCATCTTGAGGGCCACTGCTCACTGTTCCCTACAGCCATATTGAGAAGGGGAACTAGCCACGGCCAGGCTGGATTTAGAATGGAGAAGGACCCATGTGACGGTTGTGCGTGAGTTTGTGAGCTCAGACCCTGGAGCAAGCAGTAATTTAACTTATTAACCCCCTGTGGCTTGCCTTGCCGATCTCGAAGTCCAGTGGCCTCTCCAGCCTGGAATTCAGGTGAGACCCTTCTCACCATGCATTCCTGTCACCACCTGGACCCTGGAGAACCCAAGTGGTGGCAGTTTCAGTGTGAGGCGGGGGAAGCACCTTTGCTTGTAGAAGACAAAGGCACTTTACAGACCCGTGACATTTTTTTTAAAGTTTTATAATTGATTTTTAGAGAGAGGGAGGGAGAGAGAGTGAAAAAGAAACATTGATGTAAGCGCAAAACATCAATCCACTGCCTCCTGAACATTCTTACCAGGGACTGAGCCCATAACCTGGGCATGTGCCCCAACCAGCAACCTTTCAGTGCAGGGGACAATGCCCAAGCAACTGAGCCACACTGGCCAGGGCCAGATCCTTGAATTCTGTAAGGAATAATTACCTGTGCAGACAAGGAAGGAACAGTAGGTTATAATCCAGTAGACTTTCCAAGCCATCTGATGAGGTGTCCTCCCTAAGGTTACTTTGAAAAACTGAGTCACCTTAGCCGCTGAGGGAAGATTCTGTGATAGGAACTGGCTGGGAACGACACAACTTGGTCACTTCTGGGTGGGAATGTGTAGACTGTGGGGTTCTCATAGGGCCAGTCTCCCTCTTACATAATTATGAATGGTCCATATTTAGGGCTGTACTCTTGGGACCACACGATTGGCTGGGAGAGAACCTGCCCAGAGTGGAACCGATCATCAGGAAGTGCCCCAGAGGGGTAGGCCAGGGAGGGAAGGGGATGGGAAGGACATAGGAAATCAGGATAGTTCTAGTCACTGGGAATGAGCACAGGAGAAGGACCAGGGAGTCGCTGTGAATTACCATCTACCTCAGCAGGACCTATTGCCGCTGGGCTCAGAGGGTCTAGTGCAGGGGTGGGCAAACTTTTTGACTCGAGGGCCACAATGGGTTCTTAAACTGGACCGGAGGGCCGGAACAAAAGCATGGATGGAGTGTTTGTGTGAACTAATATAAATTCAAAGTAAACATCATTACATAAAAGGGTACGGTCTTTTTTTTTATTATTATTCATTTCAACCGGGCCGGATCCGGCCCGCGGGCCGTAGTTTGCCCACGGCTGGTCTAGTGGAAAGCATGGTCCTCGGAGGCTACCCTCTCTAGCTGAGGCTGCAGTGCTGGACAGGGCCCTCCCTACTTTGCAAAGGAAAGGCACCCCTTGGGGCAGACACAGTCTTCTAGGTGCCTGGTTGGCTGACAGGGTGCAGTTAGAATTTTAGCAGCCTCCCTTGCCCTCTTGGTCAAGCTTCTTGGTGTAGGGCAGTGGTCGGCAAACTCATTAGTCAACAGAGCCAAATATCAACAGTACAACGATTGAAATTTCTTTTGAGAGCCAAATTTTTTTAACTTAAACTATATAGGTAGGTACATTGTTATTAACTTAATTAGGGTACTCCTAAGCTGGCCTTTGCTAAAAACGTCCTCAGTCTGATTGAGGTTCGTTCGCTGAAGTCGACCCCTTCCAACTCTCCCATCCACACTCGTCTTGTATACTTGTTTCATCTATCTCCTTTCTGAAAACCGACTTCTGCGCATGGGCCACGAAGTTTCAATCGCACTGTACGTGCGCCCGCACGTGGTATTTTGTGGAAGAGCCACATTCAAGGGGCCAAAGAGCCGCATGTGGCGCAAGAGCCGTGGTTTGCCGACCACTGGTGTAGGGCACAAACTGTGCTAAATGTGGGTGGCAGGGACTTTGGTAATAAAAACAAACCTAACAACCAGCCATACATACACTAAGGAGGCTGGACTCGATTATGCTTCTGCTTCTCTCACCACTGATGTTCCATTGACACGTATGGTCCTTCGAGAGACACAGAGCCAAGTCTGAATCCTGGTTTTTGCTGTATATTCCCAGTGTGACTTATGGTGACTCAGTTTCCCCAGAAGTCACATGGAAACCCAAGGCCGTGAGGATTCACTAAGCGTAGAGCTGCACAGTTCATACAGGTGCCTGCGGGAGTAGGACTGGAGACAGGCGGGAGCAGTTGCATCCACCCTAGTTGGGCCTTTTCTTCTTGCCTCTCTCCCTCCTGACAGGTGAAGACCCCGGATGAGTCCCGCAGTGTTGGCCGCATCAGCAAGCAGTGGGGCGGGCTGCTCCAGGAAGCGCTCACGGACGCGGACGACTTTGGCTTGCAGTTCCCGCTGGATCTGGATGTGAGAGTGAAGGCCGTGCTGCTGGGAGCCACGTTCCTCATTGTGAGTTGGCTGTCCCGCCTTTGCTCCCCCTGGAGGCTTGCACTTCCTGGCCTCCTGCTAGGAAAGCGTTAGGAACAGACTTTATGGTGGAGGGGGGGTGGTTGCAGTTCTAGACCTGGGTTGTGACAGCTGAGCCAGGCCGGCCCAGCCGCATCTCCTGTTGACAGTCCCCTCCCCTCAGGACTACATGTTCTTCGAGAAGCGAGGAGGCACTGGGCCCTCTGCCATCACCACTTAGACGGCATCTCAGGGTGAGGACCAGCATCTCAGCCAGAACTCAAGATGGTCACCTGGCCTGGCCCGGCCCCTCCTCAGAGGCAGCCCCTTTCCTCCATGTTCACTGCAGAGGACAGACAGGGATGCCTAAGAGGCTGGGGCCATCGTGCCCCATCCCTACCCTCCTCCCCTGGCCTCCTCCCTGTGGTCCCCCTTTCACCTGTGGCCCCCACAGAAGGGTATGTATGAGAGCCCTTCCCCTGCTACCTCTCACCACTGTTTCCGGCCATCCTTCAGCACACAGGCATATCGGCTTTCAGACTTGCCCTTCTCACTTCCTCTCACCCCCTTCCAGGGCCTCTGCTCTGCATGGGGCCTTGGGAATCCAGGGCCCTGGGGTTTTACAACAGAGCTGGGGTGGGGAAGGGTAAACCGCACCAAAGATGGCTGATATGCCACCCACCTCTGCCTCAGCTTGACCAATTAGTTCAGCCTCAGAACGTGGCACTCAGAGGGGATCGCTACTTCCCCAGCAATGGCTCTAGGGCCTTGGCTCCAGTGCCAACTCCTCTCCCCCTTGGCCCTCCCCACAGCTGGTGCTTGCTGCAGCTCCGTGTGCCTTAACCAACCACCCCTTCCTTCCCTGTTCCTATAAAGGAGGCTGCATCTTTGTATGTTATATTCATATAAACTTTGTAACGTTTTGGACATTGGAAGATCTATGTCATGGGAGAGGGTGGAAGAAAGTTGGTATGGGGAGAAACAAAGGGAAATATGGCAGCTGGGCCGGGTGGGGCTGCCCATCTCGTCTCGTCTCGTAATCCATGCTGCCAGGATCGAGTGTCCTTGCATCCTAGACAGCAACTTTCGTCACCCATGATGGCTCCGGCCCCGGCCCCGGCAGCTTGGGCCACGTGCCCTAAGTCAGTATGGCTGCTCCCATCATCCGAGATGGCTGTGCCCCCGGAGCTCAGTGTGGAGCTGAAGGCAGCTCAGGATGGGTGTTCCCAGGGTTCAGTATGTCCACTTGGGCATTCTCTGTAGCCAGTACAAGCTTCCTACGGGGATGGTGGGTAGCAGCTCTGTTCCTCCAAGTCCTCCTCCCGGTTGGCAATGTGGTGGGCAAGGGTGGACTAGATCCTTCCGTGACCCAGCCAAGGGAGCTTGAGCCTTCAGAGGCCAAGAGGCAGGGTAGGAGGAAACACGCATCAGTGCCCAACTCTGGACTCCTGGACCTGCCTATGGCAGGCTCTCTCCAGGTTAGAACATAGACCCTTTCAGGACCTTGTTCTGCTCTGCTCGCCCCCACAGGGTCAGCTCCTTGGTGCATCTGGTGTCCATGTCTAAAGGAGCAGAGCTTAGGGTCGAGCCAGGACATAGCGACTGGCCGCTGAGAGGTCCCAGTGGTAATGCTCCAAGATGTGCCGGCAGTCGGCTCTGGACCGGCTGCTCAGGTGGAAGAGCTGGTCTACCTGTGGAAGCAGGAGGGAGGGCAGCTGAGTGCCAGAGGGCAGGGGCAGGAGAGGTGGGAGCCCAAGAGAAGGGTCTGCCTTTACCTTAAGGTTCTGGATAGCAGAAACCACATCTCCTCCAGTGGCTCTCAGTGCCGCCTGGCACTCCTGGTGGGTCACTCCATGTACGCTCAGCTCCACCTTAGGGGACAAAGCCTCACTTAGGCTCTTACCCCAGCCTGCAGCCCCTTCTGGACACCAGCCACTTCGGGGACACCTCACCTCCAAAACCCTCTTCTGCAAATCGGGGTCGGGCAAGAGACCTCCGGAGAGAACAGCGGCTTTGCTGGCTCCAGGTGCTCCCAAGGGGTGACTGTGCAGGGGTTCTCTTTTGGGCCAGGGAGGCCGCTCCCTGGGGGGCTGGTTGGACTGAGAAGAGCCGGAGGCAAAGGGAGGGCGGGGTGGCAGGCCTGGGGGCCCCTGAGGGACATCTCTGGCTTTTCGAACTTCAGGGGGGCTCAAACCACCCCCTGTGGGGCAGGGGCCCAGGGACAGAACAGATTCCAGACTCTTGGAAATGCCTGCACAGCGAGAAAAAACATCTTGAGAGGAAGCCTGGGTGCAGGGCCCTGCCTTCGTCCCCCTCTGTCTGCGTGTGCTGTCCTTGGGTGGTCCCTGTGTTAGGTGGGACAATAAGACAGCTGCCGGGCCTGGGCAGCTACGTCCCCAAAGAACGGACAGCGCAGGCGCTGCAGGTGGAGATGCTGGGCAGTGCCCAAGGCAGATTTAGAGGGCAGCTGGGATGTCAACAGGCAGAAGGAAGTGGTGGGAGAAGAAGTCATATGTGGGGAAGTCATATGTCAAAGGCATGGGTCCAGAGCAGGGGGCAGAGCTGAGGGCTGTTCCTGATCCCAGAGACCCGGGACCCTGCCCTTCCCCCACACTCACCCTTTCTCCTCTGCAGGGGCATGTTCCTTCTCTGACCCTGAGCGGGAGGTGGCTCCCGAAGCTTGGCCTTGGCTCTGGCCCTGCTGGAGAGAGATCCAGTTCGTTCTCTACCCCAGCCCCACCCGACATCACTGTCTCCTCCCAGAATCTCTGGGGCTTCCCGTCTGAGACCCAGAGTGAAGCTTCTCCTGGAAGGCACGTCCAGCTCCCAGCTTGACCCCGGCCCCTCCCCAAGCTTCCCTTGCAGAGCAGTTGCTGGACTTGGTCGGTTCCCCAGCCCAGCTCTGTCCCCACCCTTTTAGGTCCTCACCCGTCCACACTTCCCCGTCTCTGCTCTCCCCAGGCAGGGGAGCCTCTGTGGACGGGACAGGTGGCCGGCGAGCCCTTCAGGTCGGTCAGCGTCACTGCCGAGGCTGGGAAGCTGCCCACTTTTAATGTGCGGCCATTCTGGCCCTTCCAGGTTGTGGAGCTGGGGCTGCGGAAAGAGGGTGAAAACATGGGGCGAGTGGAGGCTGGGCCCCCACATGCGTTCAGCTCACGAGCTGTGTGCCGTGGAGCTGCATCTGCCTGGAGGAAGGAAAGCCTTTTTCTCCCCAGCACAAAAGGGCTCTGTGGGCATGCTCCAGCCAGGAGGCCAGGACGGGAGCTCTCAGGGAATGAAGCAGAGGGTTAGGGTTGGAGGAGCTGCGGGGGAAGCAGAAAAGCAACCAGGGTCAGGCATGTCGGGAGGGAGTCCTCCTGGGGATTTGTAGGAAACAGGAGGCACTCACCTGCCCTCGATGACAGTGATGGGATCACCGCACTCCATCCTCAGGGCACCTGGCTCTGAGACATCCCTCACACAGCGCCCCTCAGGAGGCCAGGCCTGTAGAAACAGGGGGAAAGGGTGGCTGTGCTGTGGCCTGAGAGAGAGGGTACCATGGAGCAGGGCAGAAAGAGACTCCTCTTAGTTTATGCATCCACCAATCCAACCCATTCCAGGTATGTCCTCTGTTCTGGGCCCAGGATGGGACTGTCCCTCCCTGTCCCCCAATTGTAGTCCAGTGGAGGAGGCAGACCTGGATTCCATGCCAAGCTGGACACAGCCCAGGGGCAGGGAGCAAGAGGAGGGGGGTCTGTCTCTAGCTAGGGAGATCACGGGGGCGGCACCCTGCATACCGCTTTTACTCCACACCCAGGCCCATCACATCCACCTCCAAGCACCTCTGGAAAGTTCCTGTTTCTTTCCAGCTCCAGTGTCTCAACCCTCACTCAGACCTCTTCACATCACTTCTGCTTCACAGCTATTGTCTCCTGCCTGGGCTTCCCATCTTCAGTGTCATCCCTCTAATCCTTTCCTGCACCCACCAAGCCAGAGTGATACGATATGTGAAGTCTTGTTCCTTCCCTGCTCAAAATTCTTTCATGGCTTCCAAGTACTCTTAGAATAAAGACTAAATTCCTTTAACACGTCCAGTCAAGATGGCAGCATAGGTAAATGTGAGACACATCCTTCCACAACCACATAAAAAATACAACTAAACTACATAATAACCATCATTCAGAACTGCCTGAAATCTAGCTGAATGGAAATCCTACAACTAAGGATATAAAGAAGAAGTCACATCAAGACTGGTAGGAGTGGATATAAAGAATAAGCAGGTCTAACACCCTCGTATGGCAGATAGAATTTGGGAGGGATATCTTGGCTGCAGAGGTCCTCCCCTGAGTAGTGAGGGGTCCCAGCCCCACTCCTGGCCCCCCACTCCAGGGTTGTAGTACTGGGAAGAGAAGTCTCCATAGCTGTGGCTGTGAAAACCAGTGAGGATTGTGGCCGAGTGAAGTGGGGGACTTACGGAGTCACAGGCAGTTCCTCTTAAAGGGCCCAAGCACAGACTCACTTGGATTCACTCCCTCTGAGTTCCAGCACTGGGGCATGAGCTCAAAAGGCACCAGGGACATATGGGGAGGAACGGAAGTATCTGGGATCAGGGCAAGAGCTGGAGGGGCAGCTTTCTCTCAGACAGAAGTGCAGGCAGAGGCCATATTCCTTTTCTGAGCCCTTCCCCCCACAGCTGGTAGGAGGGCATCATATCCAAGTTTCCATAAACCTGGCTATCACTGTTTTCCAAGTCCTGGTGATTCCCTGAGACCTTGCCCCACCAACTTTCAGGCCCACCCAAGTTGTTTCCAATGGCTTTTCCATATGAATGACCTGTCTTGGCTCATGCTTCAGACATTCCCAAAATCTCTCAAACAAGCAGCACCTGGCTTTGGCATGCCCCATACCTCTTTCTAAGTGGCCCCAGGCCCCATACTAGTGGCAGCTGTCCTTGGCTTGCAGCTTGGCCTCTCCTGGACACCTCCAAGCTGAGCACAAGTAGCGGTCATGTGCAGATTGCTTTGTAGCTCATGCCAGGTGACCTGGGCAGAACACAGGTGGCTGTTGATCTTTGCCTGCACCTGCAGGAGGCTCCAGAGCCAGCGCACCCAGCGAACAGCTTCAGACCCACAAGCAACACACGTAAGGAGCGAACTCAGCAGGCACCAGAGCCTTGCTGAAGTAAGTCCTGCTTTGTGGGATGGGCCCCTGCACAGCTGACCCTCCATGGTGGTTGCAGGCAGCCCTGGCAGCCGATTGGCTTGAGCAAATCCCTCCAACAGCAATCAGGGCTCAACTACAACAGGAGGGTGCACACAGCCCACAGGAAGGGGTGGGCACACCTGGAGTGCTGAGGTCGGTGAAGGGGAGCCTGTGCCTCTGACCCTGTGGAACACATACTACATTAGGCCTCTACCAAGCCTGGGAGACAAAGCAGCTCAACCTAATACATAGAAACAAACACAGGAGGCTGCCAAAATGAGGAGACAAAGAAACACGTCCCAAAGGAAAGAACAGAACAAAACTCCAGAAAAGAACCAACCAAAAAGGAGATAAGCAAGCTACTCGAAGCAGAGTTCAAAGCAGTGGTGATAAGGATGCTCAACGAACTCAGGGGAAGAGCAGATGAACTTAGAGAGAACTTCAACACAATAAAATATGTTTTAAAAAAAAGAAAAAGAACATGAGGCCTGGCCAGTGTGGCTCAGTTAACTGAGCCGTGTCCCATGCACCAGGAGGTTGCTAATTCCATTCCTGGGTTGCGGGGGCCCCAGGGAATCAATAGTAAAGTAGATGAAGCTGAGGATCAAAACAGTGATTTGGAATAAAAGGAAGCAAAACACTCCCAATCCGAACAGCAAAGAGAAAGAAAATCCAAAAAATTGAGGCTAGGGTAAGGAACCTCCGGAACAACTTCAAGTGTACCAACATTTGCATCTTGGGGGTGCCAGAAATTGAAAACCGATTTAAAAAATAATGATGGAGCCCTGGCCAGGTGGCTCAGGTGGTTAAAGCATCGTCCCACACACCAAAAGGTTGCAGGTCCCACTCCTAGTCAGGGCACAAAGATCGCCAGTTGGGGCACATACAGGAGGCAACTGATCAATGTTTCTCTCACACATCAATGTTTCTCTCTCCCCTCCTCTCCCTTCATCTCTCTCTAAAAAAAAGAAAAGAAAAAAATCAATGGGAAATATCCTCAGGTGAGGATTAAATATAATAATAATTGTTCTGGCTGGTGTGTGTCAGTTAGTCGGGCATTGTCCTGTGCAGGGAGAGGTTGCTGATTGGACTCCTGGTCAAGGCATATGCCTGGGTTGGGGGCTCAGTCCCCAATAGGGGGCATGCAGGAGGCAGCTGTTGGATATTCCGCTCTTGCATCAATGTTTCTCACTTCTCCCTTCCTCTCTCTCTAAACATCACTAAACTATTCTTTAAAAGGAACTTAACAAATAAATAAATTTAAAAAATAAAATAATGATGAAAAGCTTCCCTAACCTGGTGAAGGAAATAGAATACAAGTTCAGGAAGTGCAGAGAGTCCCCAATAAGAGGCCCAAACCAAGACACATCATAATTAAAATGCAAAAGGTTGTCCTGGCTGGTGTTCTCAGTGGTTAGAGCATCAGCCTGAACACCGAAAGGTCTTGGGTTTGATTCCTAGTCAAGGACACATATCTGGGTTTCATATTTGATCCCCTGCCCTAGTTGGGGCATGTATCAAAACAGTGATTTGGAATATAAGGAAGCAAAACACTCCCAATCCGAACAGCGAAGAGAAAGAAAATCCAAAAAATTGAGGCGTGTGTCTCTCTCACATCAATGTTTCTCTCTCATCCTCTCTACCTCCCTCCATCCCTTCCACTCTCTTTAAAAATCAATGGAAAAAATATTCTAGGGTGAGGATTAACAAAAATAATAATAAAATGCAAAAAGTTAAAGACAAAGAGAAAAATATTAAAAGCAGCAAAAGAAAAGCAGTTAGGCCTGGCCAGCGTGTCTCAGTGGTTGAGCACTGACCTATGAACCAGGAGGTCATGGTTCGATTCCTGGTCAGGGCACATGCCTGGGTTACAGGTTTGATGCCCAGTGGGGAGCGTGCAGGAGGCAGCCAATCAATGATTCCCTCTCATCATTGATGTTTCTATCTCTCTCTCCCTCTCCCTTCCTCTCTGAAATCAATAAAAAATATATATATTTTTAATAAAGAGAGAGAGAGAAAAGCAATTAGTTACCTACAAGGGAGCTCCCATAAGACTGTCAGCTGATTTCTTAACAGAAACTTTACAGGCCAGAAGGGATTAGCAAGAAATATTCCAAGTAATGAAAACCAAGGATCTATAACCAAGATTATCCAACAAAGCTACATTTAGAATAGAAGGACAGATAAAGAGCTTCTCAGACAAGGAAAAACTAAAGGAGTTCATCACCAACAAGCCAGTATTAGATGAAATGTTAAAGGGAGAAGAAGAGGAAGGTGAGGAGAAGGAAAGAAAAAAAAGATTAAAAATACGAACAGTAAAATGGCATTAAATACATATCTATCAACAATTGAATCTAAAAACAAAATAAAGAGACAAGCACAACAGAAACAGCCCTGGCTGGTGTGGCTCAGTTGGTTGGCATCAGTCTGTGCACGGAAAGGTTGCTGGTTTGATTCCTGGTCAGGGCACATGCAAGAGTTTGGAGTTCAGGCTCAATTCCCAGTAGGGGGCATGCAGGAGGCAGCCAACTGATATTCCGTTCTCACATAAATCTCTCATGGATAGCAGCAGAACAGTCATGGGGGTGTAAAGCAGGGAATATAGTCAAAACTATTCTAATGATTATGTGTAGAATCAGATGGGTACAAGATTTATCGGGATGGTCACTTAGTAAGTTATATAATGTCTAATCACTGGGTTGTATACCTGAAACGAATATAATCTTGTGTGTCAACTGTCATTGAACAATAAAAAATGATTTCAAAAATGTTTTCAAAAGAATACGGGAAATAGTATAGTCATGTAGGGAATAGCTCTGAAGTCAGAGAGACTGGTTCCGATCCCAACTCCTCCGCTTACGTGTACCTTTAGGTGAGTCACCTAAACTGGCAGTGCCTGAACTGCCCAGTCTGTAAAATCAAGGTAACAATGATCTTGTTGGGTTTCTGTGAGGATTAAGTGAGTGAACATGCATAAGGATACATGTAAGGCGCTCAGTACAGCATCTTACACAGGTCAAGTGCTCCATAGGTCAGCTCTGGTTATTTACCATGCCTTACAGATCCTCCCGTGGGGCAGTGCCCGAGCACGCCCCGGCCTTCCCCTTGCACACTGAAACTTTCCTCGCCAACGCCCACTGCAACCTACAGCTCTCCGCTCTGAGCTCCCCCTTCTCTTGGCCTTCAGCCCTCCGCCCTTCAGCCTTCATCTATGTAGCACCAAGCTGCTCCCCAGGGCTCTTAGCGCCCTGCAGGTAGGGACTGCTCTGTTCAGAGCAAACAGGGGTTCCAGACCCCAGCCCAGGAGTCAGTCTGGTTAGTCTTGAGCACGGAACCCTGGGAGAAAGAACGGAGGGAAGAGAGATCTGGGGATGCAAGGGTTCCCACCTCTTGGATCAGCCCCTCCAGGGAGGAGAAGCTGGGCCGATCAGCAGGGTGGAGGGCCCAGCAGCGCAAGGCGAGGGTATAGAGGGCCCTGGGGCAGAGAGGAGGCCTAGGCAGCCGGGCTTGGTCCTTCTCCAGCCGCTGCAGGATGAGGTAGGGCGGGACCCAGGCCCAGGGCTCCTTGCCCCCAGAGAACATCTCCCACAGCGTCACGCCGAACATCCACACGTCCGAGGCAGAAGAGAAGGCCCCCTGGCGTAGGCTCTCTGGGGCACACCTGCGGAAGTGGAGCTGAAGGGGGCTGGATATGTGCCCTGGAGCTTCCACCCCCCCACCCCCACCCCGTGCTCCCACTGTCCTCAGAAGTCCTCCCCCCCAAGCCCTTCCAGACCCACGGACTCCTCTGGGTCCAGCCTCCCTCAGAGGACCAGTTCCCTCCGCTGCTGCCCTCCAGACCCGCACCCTCCCGACCGGCCTCCGAGATAACTCCTGCGGGCGGGCGCACCCCTCACTCACCAGGCATAGGGGATGGGGCGGGGCCCCCCCATCACGTAACGGCCCCGGGCGCCGC